ATTTTCTCTCCCTCTTTTTAAAATGCCAAGATTGTTAGCTGCACAGAAGGAAATTGTAAACTCATGTTAAAGACTCATTTGTTTTGTGACATTAAAAAAAGAACTGTTTAAAGATCCCTGTGTTGCAGTGATCACTGCCTTAAATCCCTGTGGCACTGACCTTTCAGATAATTCCATGATTTCTAATCAATTGTCTCGACCTCTTGCAGCTGATTAACCACAACACAGTTTAGCTAGTCATGTATAATAAACAATATTTGGAGTACATATTCAGAATGCAGAAATGAAGTAGAAGAATTTGAAGGTGGGTGGAGAAGCCCCTGGAGGTCTTCCCTCCTGACCACATGATGGGGCCAAATCTGATGACACATTTACTGAATGGCTGTTCTCCAATTAATTCAGAAATTTCACATGAATCACTGCATTCCTGGGATTTAATTCCCCAAAATCTCTGTGGCGTCAGTTTTTTGTCATTGGATAATAGTAATCTGAGCATTTATATTAAGTTGTACAAAAAAGTTATTTATATTTTAAATGATTTATATATTTTAAAATATGCTAAACTAATTTAGATACTCATTATGAAGACTTAAGTTGTTCACTGAAGTTTCAAGGACTAGCTAACAATCATTATACATTAGCTACAGTGATGATTAAAATTAGGCAACGTTTAAACTGTCTTACTGAAGATGAGTTTGTATGAGTTCAGCAGAGTTACATCACCTGATCTGTTCTATCATGACTAATCATTAACACTTAATTACATTTTTAATGCTACACTCATAAAACATAGAACTGACTCTTGTACCTGTTAAGAAAACAAGAAAAAACAATTTAATATTCAGTGAATTAGCCCATGTTTAAAAAAGGTATTAGTCTTAGTATAAAGTCTTAGACACTTCTTTAAAACACGCACAGACAGCCTCATGTCCAGAGCAAGAGTATTTCGGAGTTCATGAGACAGACGGCAATCATTCAAATGATACGTGTTTCCCCCCATCAAGACATAGTTTAAATGTATTCTGAATGTGTTGCTTTTTGATGTTTTGTGTGACTGAATACATTTATTTGGCATTCAGTGTGATTTTCAAAGTATTCTGCCCATCTCTCTGTAGGCAGCAGATAAAGGAGCAAGTTAGAGTGAACTTTAGTCCAAAGGTATCAAACTCAGGTCCTGGAGCACGAATGCCAGGCTGAATACTTTCCCTCTTCTAACACCAAATTCAGTTCAAATGAAAGCCTGCAGAAGTAGCAGCCTAAAGCAGTGCTTCCAGATCCTGCTCGTGGACTCTGCACACTGTAGCTCTTCTCTGCTCTGACACACCCACTTTAACCTCATGAAAGGCTCAAAAATGAGCTGATGAGCTGAATAGTGTGTATTAGGGTGGTGAAACACTTAACATGTGCAGTAGGTTATTCGAAGACTGGAATTGGGCAATACTGCCTTAGGCTACTGCTGCAGCTCTTTACTTCAGCATCTACTAGACTCCACTGTGAGAACTCAGGCCTAGAGGGCAGGACTAGCACAGAGCCAAAAGTGACTTGTTTTTATCATGTTAGTTTATGTTCCTACTCATATTAAGCACAATTCATCATATCATCCTGTCTAAAAGACTAATTTAATGTTTTCTCTTAATCTTTGATCAAAGCATAGCAGCATTCGCCACCTCTAAAACAAGTTTTGATTACGTCACCCTGTAAGCAGGCAGAGAAAAAATTATATTAACTAATAACATCATGTTTCACCTCCCTCCTCCCTCCACATTCACCTATCGTCGAGAGAAAACACTGAACCAGCTCCAAGACCCTCCCAGATACTGCGTTTCACTCAAAATAGAAAACTGTAGGGAAGAAAGCGTGTACTGATTTTACATTGACTTTAACATTGTACCTTATTTAACCTGTTCATGTCCAACAACTAAATTCAGTACGATAAGGAGAAATGCCAAAGCACTTGCTCTGATTGCTCTAAAGTAGTGGTTCCCAACCTGGTCCTCAGGGCCCCCCTAACCTGACTTACAACACATAAGGATGAAAAATGTGGACCGTCAGGGGGTCCCTGAAGACCAGGTTGGGAAACAGTGCTCTAAAGGGATGAAATGCTATATACTTACACCTTAAATCAACATCTCCCATTTAGATGTTTATTTGTTTGTTTGCAAATTTGGCTTTTCAATTGTTTGGTCAAAGGCCAGTAAACTGACTGAATATGAAAAGTTCAGACTGAATATGAAAAGTCATTAAACTTTTAAGCCATATGGTTTGATAGATTTGAAAGATTTATTCAGATTTGTGCTCAGGTGCACTCTTAGCAAAAAAGGCTTCTATATAGTACCAAGAAAGAGTCCTTTGGCTTGTAACAATAACAAAACCCTTTTTGGTGCTATCTAGAACCCTTTTCAAAAAGATTCTATATAGAACCATCTACAGTACATTCTCCATCAGTCTGAAGAACAATTTCACCATGCAAAGATTTCCATGCTAAATTTTCTTCGGGATCAATGAAGTATCTATCTATCTATCTATCTATCTATCTTAGAACGCTTTAATCATTTAAAGAGTTCTCTGAGTGTTCACGGTTCTGTATAGAACCATTTTCTTTACTAAAGAATCCCTGAAGAACCATCTTATTGAAGAGTGAATGTAGAAAACATCAGGAACACAGGAAAGTAAAAAAATTAGATATGGACGTTAAGTTTGTTAATGCTCTTCTTAGTGGTCTCCCTGTTAAACACCTCACTATAAAAACCCACCTCTTTCCTGAGAGCTGTAAATTTTCAGGATTTCTCGGATAGCCTAATAATGTAGGCCCCAAAAAAGTGTCCAATAGTAGAAGAGCTAAAGAACATTCCTATCAGACAATCCTCAACGTAATTTATCCCTCTTACTGAGAAATCCTGCTTTGAGAAACACACCCCCCCCACCCCATGGCCAATTTAAAGAGCTTTGTGGCGAAACTATTTTTGGGACAATAATACCTCGTCACATTGATGAAGAATTGCATTGACGTTTCAAAAATGTGAAATGCTCCATTCTAGAGAAACTTACAGAGTCAGAAATGTTCACAGTGGTGGTGATAGGAACCAGACGTCTGAAGAGGTAGATGCTCCTAAAAGCTACATAATAGAAAAATATTGGTTATGAATACACTGCCTGAAGTTATTCATTCATTCTTTTATGATGGATCTGAGCGAAGCGTTTGGCCTTAAATGCTTTATTTAAGGTACAGGTGGGCTCTGAAAGGCAAAATGGTACCCAGAGGAAACTTTTTATATCTATTTTTCAGATTTACCACTATTTCACCATTATCAGCCAACAAGTTACACGTGTCTCTACAATTACTCTGTTTATGTCTCAACAGCTGAATTCCGCAAACATTTTGTCAAATCAGTGCAGAATTCGATTGTTCTGAGGTTGTGTTTACACCGACTTCTAACGTGTATCAGCCAACCAGATGCCAGAACGGCAACTAACGTTTTACAATGGGCGTGTTTGAGCAGGGAAACCATAAAACCTCCCACAGAGTTTCAGTAACAAGACTGGGAAGCGCAGCCTTCAGGCTGTGTGTGTACCTGTGCCTGTACCTCTGCTCATCAGCTCACTGACAGAGCCTATGTGAGGTTTAAATGGGCGGAGAGCACTAAATATGCAATATAGAGCAGGGCTGGACGATTATTATCAAATTTTATTTTTATTTTATTATGATTTTGGCTTTCAATGACTATGAAAACAAGATAATTGAGATAAAATCATTATTGTGCCACATTCCATTTCGCAACGGTGCCCTCATTTTGTCTTGTGTTAAATCTAGCGCGCCCCTTTCCTTCACAGCGGTGAGCTTTCATCCCTCCCTGAAAGCCCACACTCACTCTCAGCCAGGCTGTGGCATGTTTAGTTCAGCACTACCCGAGATGACAGGAAAAGAACCTCTGATCAACAAGAAGAGTCAGGAGTCCAACTAGCAACAAATACTGTGCAAGATTTGTTACACGGTAGTGTCGGCACCACAAGGCAATACGACCAATTTGTTTAATCGTCTAAATTCAGTTTTTTAATTTAATTTTTTTATTTTTTTAATAGTTCAATAATTGAATGATGTTCCCATAGTTAATGAAAATGCGTGGTGGATTATGAAGAGCAAAATATCACAAAGAAAGCCCTGCATGGTGGTGCAGCTGAAGACTTGTGTACTGGAGGAATTCGAAATGGAAAAAAAAATCAAACTGAATAAATCGGTGTCTTCAGGTCCCAAACAATTATTAAGCGCTGTTAAAAGCGAATGTGATGAAACACAGGAGGAAACATGCTCCTGTCCCAGCTGTTTTGGAACATGTTGCAGGTGTCATAATTGGACTGGTATGTTTCCTAAATAAAATATATAAATAATACGATTTGTAAGGTAAAACCTTATGAAAAATATTGATTCTGTGACAGCTTTCTTAGCGCTGTTACCTTAAAGCAAGAAGGTCTGGGTTCAGCTCCCTGGCTGGGCAACAGGGTTCTTTCTGTGTGGAGTCTGCATGTTCTCCCTGTGTCTGCATGGGTTTCCTCCGGGTGCTCCGGTTTCCTCCTACAGTCCAAAGACATGCAGTCCAACTGGAGATTGCCCCAGGTGAGTGTGTGTGTGAATGTGTGGGTCTGTGTGTCTGCCCTATGATGGACTGGTGACCTGTCCAGGGTGTTTCCTGCCTGATGAACGCTGGGATAGGGCACCCTCCGTGACCTAGAAGGATAGGCAGCTTAGAGGACGGATGACAGTTTTTTTCTAAGTTTAATAAATGCATGTTTCCAAAGTCAGTGAGTAATCGTGTTAAATAACCGTGATCTCAACACTGACCAAAATTATCGTGATTCTGATTTTGTCATAATCGAGCAGCCCTGCTACAGAGCAGCTCCAGGAGCCCTGCAGTGAAGAACGAGGAGAAGAAGGAAGAGTTTGGGGAGGGGTGGGTGATGGTGGTGGTGAGCGGAGCAGGCAGGAGCAGGAGCAGGGAGGAGTAGGAAGGCGGGGCGACCCCCAGGAACATGGGGGAGGGAGGAGAGCCGTAGAAAGCGTAGCAGCCCGGAGTTTGAATGAAGGAGACGGAAATGTGCGTCTCTGTGAATAACTAACCGCCCCCCACCCCCGGGCAGAAGAGAAGAGAAACTGGACTGGAGCTGATTCGGTTTGGTTTGGTTTGATTTGAGGGACGATGCAGAAGAGCAGATAGAAAAAAAGAAGAAGAAAAAAACAGAGGAGGACTTTGCTTTTAAAATGGTGTTTTGTTGAGAGGGGTGGGGGTGGAGCTGCTCTGTGGTGTGAAAGAGAAGAGGATAAAGGAGATATTCGGGTGAAACCGTGTTAACTTGGCGGAAAGCAAAGCGAGCCTTTTTTAAATCTGTTTTTACGCGCTCTCCATGATATCGAAGGCCCTTCGGTTTGGCTGTTTTCCCGGCCGAGCTGCTCCTGAGTGATGAATGAAAGTATTCACACACTCAGCGGGGCTCTCGGCGCACTGGAGGAGCTGCAGACAGGGCTCATGGGTCTCACACCACCCTCATCTTAGCACACTTCGCCTTTTTTAAGCATCGTTTTGGCGTTTTCCTTTAAGCCGAGCTGCCTTTTTGCTGCCAGATATCACGACGGATCCACAGTTTGTCTAAACAGAGGAGAAGAAAACAAAACAAACCCGCAGCTCCTGGATTCTCTTTGTGCTGCTGCGAGGCCATCAGAGCGGCTATCGAAGAAAGGTGAGTCTCTAAATGGTGGTTTCACCCCCAACCGAAGCGCCTATTCTTCCTATTTTTTGCTCCTTTTCTTCTTTTCTTTACTCTCTTTTCTTTTGTTGTGTTGCATTGTCTTTCCAGCCCGCAGTAATTATTTATCAGTCTCTTTTGATGGATAGGATCGTTAGCTAGTATACAGAGAAATGCATGCAGAGAACCGTTAAAACAATGTGAAGATCATTCATTCTTCTTCCTCCAACTGCTTTTGAATCGCAAAGCAGTTTCAACCAAGAAAATAAGATCTTCGACTCAACTTCTGCCTTGTTTATGCTTTATTACTTAGAAGTATAGTCCTTTGTGCAGGTTTAAAGCTGTAATATTTGCCCCCAATTAAAACAAAACACTTTTCCACTCAGTATATTAACCTAATCTGTTTCGGAAATGGGTTTAAACCGAGTCTTGTCTTCAGTTGCTCGAACTTAAGTTAGCTTGTAACCAGAATTGTCCGTTCCACCTTAAATGGTGCCGCAGAAACGTTGCTGCTGCGCCATTTAAGGTGGAACGAACAGTTCGAATAAGAAGCCAGCTTAAACCTGTGGGGTGGAGTGAGAGCTGCCACTTTTGTGTTGTTGCTGTTTGTTAAAATGCTGCACAATTTAAGGTGGATCGGACGATGCGTTTAAGAAGTCAGCATAAACCTTTACACTGGAGTGAGAGAGCCACTTTTGTGTTACTGGTTGTTACAACGCTGCACCATTTAAGGTGGAACGGACGATTCCGTTAAGAAGCCCAGCGTAAACCTGTACCGTGGAGTCAGAGTTGCCACTTTTGTGTTGTCGCTGGTTGTTAAAAGTGCCTGGACGTGAATGTGGCTGGTCTTTGTTGGGTATTTAGGCGAACTTCCACTTCAAAAACGTTTTTCCACCATTTCTAATTCTCGTGCGTCCCACTTTGATGCAGATTATGCGGAGATTTGGGTCACTGTGTCGAGTTGAGGCTAGTCCTCATACTTCCAGAGAAGGCCTCAAAGCCTCGGCCTCTCTTTGCGTAGGTGGCGGGGGTGTCCCGGTGTCGCCCCCGCTATACGCGCCTGCTCCTACCCCGAGGCCTGTAGGCCTTGCCCTCCCACACAATGGTCACTGTCCATCAGCAAACAAAAACTTAGTAAAATACTCTTTAACCCCACGCGTTTTGTGTCCACACATCATTTCAAGGCAGGTTTCAGAGCTGAAGGATAGAATCAATTCTGATGAGTTCTAGACATGGTCCTGTTCAAATTAAGTGTGAGGGGACTTTTAAGGGAACCTTTTTCCCAAAATTTCTGCATATATCAATCACTGAGATGTAAACAGTCGTTCAGAGTAGTTAGATGTGAAATGGTTCACTGTAGAGAAATTTACTGATTTCTTTACAATGGTGGCAATGGTGACTTGCATTATCTCCACCGTAAATATTTGTTAAAAATTACGTTTCAGGCCCATACTTCATCTCAGAAATATCGTCTTAGGCATCAGGCAATATATTTGCAATCATGTCATATAATAATTTAGTGTTGTGTATGTAGTTTATCTTCTAGAGGCATTAAATGCGTCCGATGTTTATTTTTCGAATGCCACCATTTTTAACAATTCTGACCCAGTAAGTTTAAGTAGAATGACATATTTAACCTAACGCTGCTCTGAATAACATTTAAATGGATTTTATTATGCAAAAAGATTGAAAATCCTGTTTCTCAAACTTATCTCTGGAGATTTTCAGCCCTAGGATTTTCTTTCTTTGATCAAAATATTGTCTCACAAAAGGCTTAATTGTTTACTCTTATTTAGAAAAAAACAAATTGCATAAGAAAAGTGTAAAGTCTCATTTTCGTCTTTAGCTCTCTTACACATCCCAGGAATCTTTCAGCAGTCTGTCAGTGCAGGAGATCTCACGCTTTACTCATTCGTCTCCAGAACTTACAATTAAGCGCTTAAGTTGAGCTCCTTAGGTTTGATATGAAATGCTCCATTGTAGAGAAACTGAGAACCGTCCACATGTTTTATAGATTTACCACCATTTTGTCATTATTAACATTACATATAAAAACTCAGACGGCACATTGTTAATTTTGAATAGTAAATAAAATGGTTATATTTGTGCTGTAGACATTGCAAACCCTGGTTTATATCGCCATTTTAAAGAAATCCAAGCTGCAAAGTTTCTCCGACGCTTCAACAGTTTAATTATGCAGAGGATTTGATAAAATGATGGAATTTCCGTTTAACAAACATTTTTCCTTTGGGAAGTTCCGACGTTTCTGTGTGTCTGACTGACTGAGCATCAAGTTCAATTGTGCTGTTTGGGCTAAATGGGTCAGAGGAGACTCAGAATAAAGGGTAACACAATAGCCCCACTGTAATGCACACCTGGGAGCGGCATCTTGGTTCATAAATGAAACCTGCCACGCCTAACTCGCCATCCATGTTCAGTTCTGCAGCGCTTCTTGCCTTTTTATCCAAAAAAAGTCGTCTTGTCTTTTTCACAGTTGGTAGAGGAGCTGAGTGTAGGCTGGATTTGAATCTGTATGTGAAATTTGAACATGCAGTGCATGTTTAAATGCCTGAATGTGGTGTTAGAACATGAACTGTACAGCCTGAAATCAGGGGCAGCGTCTGTTTGTTTCTTGGAGGTTTTTAAATGTTTTAATTATTCTCGGTACTTTTTGATTCTGTTGTATTCGACTGTTCTTAATGTCGTCCTCTTGTCAGTGCATAAAAGGAATTCTCCAGTGTTTTTCATCCTAGTTTATCTGCCATGTCTATAGCATACAGATTACCATGGACAGTAATTTCCCTCTACTTTTTATTTTAAAGAACTTATAGCCACACTTATAATTGAAGTCAGTGAGCAGGTGTGTTGGCTCATGAGCTCCAGTCAGCTGATAGTCAGGTCTTTTATGGGAATTGTGGGCCGATGCCAAATCCAGTCTTTTTACTTGTGCCTATCTGCCTCTGCTGATACATGGCCGTTGTGGAAATGTACCATTTATTTCTTGGGGTTACATATGCAGTAAGATGTAAACATTTGCTGCCTGAATGTTCTGCTCCTCCAGAGTAAATTAAATAAGCCAAATCCTATTTTAAAATATCTTTCAAATCTAAAAATCTATTTAATGTCGACCTTTCTTACAAGTGATTATCTGCCGACACTGGTAGGCCTGACAATTAATTTGCCATATAAATAATAGCTGTTAACAGTTTAAATGTGTTTTGTAGTACAAGCCCAAACTGGACAGATTGATTGATACTGAAAGCTCCCACCTGATGAGACACAGCTCAAGCTCAAGTAAACAAACATTACTGCATAGCACCAGTCGGTTAGAACTTTTGTGGTTATGTTGTTTATTAACACCAGTGTGACTGTTTACGTTGTAGGATCAGTAAAGTACATAACATGTGTTTGACTCTGGTCAATGGAAGAAGCTGTACCAAATTCACACTCTTTGTCGTGATGTAATATGATTGTGAAAGCTTACAAGTGTGAAACAGTTGCCATCAGCTTAAGTGTGTGTGTTTTTGATAATTGTGGCTGGCCTAGATACGATATGATTCCAGTATTATTGTGCATCCTTATTTTTCACTAAATACTCAATAATTGAATTATCGTTGTGATTATTGTATGCTGTGTGCTGCAGATACGGCAGGCAGAGGTGAAACGTTGCTGTATTTTGCTCACGTTCCTGTGTCTGTTGCCTGTGTGGAGGAGCCCCCTTCAGATTGATGGGTGGCACGTGTTGTGAATCTGCCCTCGACAAATGGTGTCCCTGACTGTCTTATCAGCTTTGTAAACAACCCCTGACAAGTGTGGCGAGATGCGTGAGTGAGAAACACACATGCGCGCGCTGGTGCAGCAGAAAGAGTCGGGTGGTGTTTTTGTCTTTCTTAACAGGAAAGCTCGTGTCCTTCTCACATGAAACCAATTAGGGGGTGTTCGGCACAGATAGATGCGGAATAAGAGGAGAGAGAGACAGAAATAGAAAGTGAGGAGAGTGGTGGCTCTTCATTAAGTTGATCGGATTAAGACGCACACACAATCTCACCCCCCCACCCCCAGTCTGTCTGCGTTTGCTCCACTCAGTCAAGCAGAACAGCTTCACTAATGACTGGTCGGAAGTGCTGCTGTTATTTTTGGGTGGGCCACACACGCTCACCCAGGTAAACAGTTCACTGCAACTTTTTTTTTCGCCTTCATCTGTGAAATAGGGTTGTACGGTTAAAGGTCACGTAACCATAGAAACACAGCCCCCCATGCCATTCACAGCTCCTGTACCCGCCTATTCATTCCTATGGCAACAGCCAAGCTTGGTCACCTCGGAGATGAGGAGGGATAGCTGGGGAATGCGTTTGTGTGGGTTTGAATGATGAGACCTTCTGAGTGACTGGTGGAGCACTGATTCTGAGAGTTTATCAGCGCTGAGTCTAGTTTTGGTCAAAGTTAGTTAATTTGATGCCTTCCTGAAGCTGATATTCTAATTAGGTCGCATATAACTATATTTCTAATCATCGTCATGATAAATTACATCGTTTTGTGTAACAATAAGCTTTTCTGGTTATTTTGTGGGTATAATCAGTACTGAGAGACTGATCAGCTGTGTTTTTCATTACTAAGAGAGCATAATTGGGTGTTTAATTGGATTTAGTGCAGTATATGAAATTGAATGAATATCTTTTGTATTTCTAGTTTCTATATTTTTAAACAAAGCACTGCTGAAGCATTTTTGCCTGTTTAAATCCAATCAAAAAACAAAATATTGTGATATTATGCATCAAAAAACATGTCTAATATTATTGTATTGTGATAAAATTCCCCCAGCCTTGTGTAAAATTTATTGTGACTTGACTTGAGACTTGTGATCATTTTTTAACAGTAAATGATCTTTAAGCGTGTTGTTTTCATGACCCTTTAAATTAAATTTTTTCTTTTCTTGTGAACACCAGACACACAATGGGAAAAATTGAAACGTCTTAATTAATTACCTGCTTTTTTGCATTCGGACTCTTCTGAAATGTGTGCATAATTCAGTCATTGAGAGTTGGACTGGTTTGTTGTGAAATGGTTCATTGTAGAGAAACTTACAGATTCTTATTTCTGTACAGTGATGGTGATGGAAGCCAGTTGTCACAATGTTTATACAAATATAGCTGTTTAATTTACCACCCAACCTATGTGTCTTCTGAGTTTTTACATGTAATGTTGATAGATGTTATTTCAAAACTGTTTATCATTGGTGACTTTTTTTCCCCAATATCCTGAATAACTCTTCACTATGAAAATTTAATTAACTAAATGTATTTTAGGCCAAAACTTTCTCATAACTATTGTGAAACTATGTCTCAGACATAAGGCAGCACATTCATAATCATTTAGTGTAATAACTGTTGTCTTTGGATGTCCGGTTCCTTTCACTACCACTGTGAACAGTTCTGACTGTGTAAGTTTCATCTTGAAGAGCAGCTTTTCAGATCAAACCTCTCTGAACGACTTTGTTTACAATTCTAAATTAACTTTGTCACTCTGAGCAGGAGCATCAGCTAAACTACGTTTTCTTCTCTGCAGGTTAGTCCTCCCTCCTTCCTCTCGTCAGCCTCCAAAATAGATTCTCTCAGGAGTAAAGTTGAGCTGCTGAAGCTGCCGCTGGCTCTCTCTTCTAAATCCATCTCCGAGCGCAAAACTCAACTGGGCAGAGCAACAGAACGCCCCAGGGGTGGAGCTGGGGTCCACAAACCCCGCCCACCGGCCCCAGACATGGACAACGAGTCGCAATACTCGGGCTATTCCTACAAATCCTCCCATTCCCGAAGCTCTCGCAAGCACAGGTGCGTACACAGACAGTACACTGACATTCTTCCCATTTGTGAAAATGTTACGGGTGGGCTGTCTGTCTTGTTAATTGTACGTCTTCACATATCAGATCAAACAAACACAAGTGCTAACATTTGGGGCCTCCATGTGCTCTTTTGTGATAGTTGGAAGGGTAAATCTCTGACCTCAAAATGATTTATGAATCCTTAGGAAGAAATTCAGAGCATCATAAATCTCAAACTTTGATTTAATATTGGCTACGGTTCAAGGTTATGTTTAAAGATACACTAAATACACATGAGGAATAGTAGTGGTGGTGTACTGGTTCAACTGGTATCCAGAATGAAATTATTCCTCAGGTGCGTGTTTTGTCGCAATTGTTATGCTACAAATAAGCACAGATAACGTTTGGTCAGGTGGTCTTTATTGTAATGTTCAAACATTGCAAACCATGCTAACATGATCTTGCTTACCTGAGTAGCTGAGTCAAAGGTGTTTGTCATGTTTTTAATGAAAATGCAACAGACCTTCCGTCACCTCCCACTGTCTTATCTACTGCATTTGGAGTAACAAGTTTTGTTTTCAAGTCGGCGCACATGAAGGCATGGCTGCACTTTTGGGGTTAGCCTTAGTCTAATACAGACATCAGGGCGATATTGTTGTAACGCCTGAGAAGTCGCTTCAGTCAACTGCATCACACAGCGTTGTGGTCTCAGGGTCTTGCGCGTGAAACTAGCTGTAGGACAGCTGTAGCTGAAGTGTGAACAACTGTAATATCTCCCAAAGTCAAGCAGGGTCTGACAGTCAGAGTCTCTTCTGCAAGACTAAAGGTGCCTTCTTGTTTGCCTGCTTTTTGTTTGAATATCTCATTCCACCTTAAATGGTGCAGCGGTTACATTCAGGCACTTGTACAGTTGCCAGAGTGTAACTGCTGCTCTACGGTTGTGCGGAAAATCTGAACGGAAAGATAGCAAATAAGGAACTAACTTTAGTGTTGGTAGAAATTTAGAAGATTTAGTGCTGTTGCTGGATTAGTGTTGGTAAATCTACATATTGTTCAGTTTTGAATTTGCACAATAAAAATATTTCACGTTTACTTTGGTTGTCAAAAATGGTTCTTATATACCAAGCCACTCTTAACTTACAGTATACTGTGATATGCCGAAACTGTCAGAATTTTAATTATACCGTGATATAGATTTGTGGCCATACTGCCCACTACTAATGTGACTGGAGGAGCTAATTTATTCAGTAGTGAAAATCTAGACAGTTTGGACTTCTGTGCTTGAAAATAACCTGGAAGTTTTATTTTGGACAAAAATCAGGTTTTATGTACTTTACTGAGTGTTGTTATAAGTGGTATCAATTGTCAATCCTATTAATCCATAATGGGTGCAGTTGACTCTTCACCTGCTTTTTTTACAAGCTTGTGATGATCCATTTTTATGTTTTGTGAACAAGTATTGAAACATTCTATATATATTACAGGGATCGGAGAGACAGGCACCGCTCTAAGAGCAGAGACAGCAGAGGGGACAAATCAGTCACTATTCAGGCTCCTGGTGAGCCCCTGCTGGACACAGAGTCCACACGCGGAGACGACAGAGTAAGTACACCTCATACCTTTTCCCAGCTGATGTTGGCTGGAATTTTCTGTTCTGCTTTCAGACAAAACCTTCTTTATTCCTGTTAATTTTTTGGTTTCGGTTCAAGGTTTCTTCTCATAGTAGGTCGTCTGCCTACTGCCAGGTTTCAGATGGCAGTAAATCCGTCTAAAAAAAAGAGCATTAAATTTAACACCTTTCATTGTCTGCATGCTGTTAAGTATGTGCTATTGTTCACTGCACTGCTAGAGCACTTTCACTTGTGCACTTTATTAAGCAGTAAATGTTTAATGTTTTTATATATTGCAGGAGTTCTGATTTAAACATTGAAAAGATCCCACTTGGGCAGATGTTCATTATTTAAAGCATAAAGCAGTTATGCTGTATGTAAGTACTTTTGTAAATAAAGCAGAACATCTGGGCAGTGAACACAGTGATCTGAACAATACACAGTGATTTGGCCAATTCTTCAAACCAATATTTGGTGGCTTTGGAAGAGCAGAACATTTAGGCGATGGTGGGCTGTTGTGCTAAAATATCTGCATTTTATTCAGTTTACTGCATTTCCGACCCAACAGAAACAAGTGTTATTTTCCTGTGATGCTAATCCAGATAGTTTATGCATCAAATTGTTTATGCATCAGCATCACTATCAGCATCAACAGATGTTTTTGAAAAATCAGATCTTGGCATCGGCCCACGATTCCCATGTTGGCGCATCCCTGTTATTTGTATTTACTTGGTGACCACAGTCCCGAAGGTAGCCTATGTATAGTGGCCTTAACCAGTAGTAGATGAAGCTCTATAAAAACATGCCATTAGGAGAAGTTTTATGTTACAAAGGCAATGTGAAGCAAATCCTAGACCCGTCTTGTAACTCACTCTCTCGCATTTAACAGGCTGAGGTTTTTCCTACAAGGGGCTTCCATATTTTAATGTTTCATAAGAGCAGTGCTTCACATCAAATAGACTGTCCTTGTTTCTGTAGCAGTGTAGACTTCTAAACATTAGTGTTACAGGCTAATAAGAAAGTTATGTTCGATGATTATCTAAAACACCTGACAAATAATTATGGCAGGCCACTACAAACATTTATAGTGCAACATTAGATGAAGCTAGTATATTTTAGGCTATTGTAGATAATATCAGTGCATATGAAAAAGCTCGTTGCCGGCCAGACAAGGATGAGGTTGTGTTTGTTGTAAACATATCATGCAGGTAATCATCTGAACTGTGTAACAAGTTTATTGTTGGAATTCTGATCACATTTTTGGTCCTCTGCTTAACAAAAATGTCATAGTGTCTTCTCTTTCTCTTTGTATAGGATGATAACTGGGGTGAGACCACCACAGTGGTGACAGGCACGTCAGAGCATAGCGTGTCCAATGAGGACCTGACACGAGCATCTAAAGAGCTGGAGGACTCGTCTCCTCTGGAGTGCCGACGGTTTGCTGGTCCTGTACTGAGTGGCATTCTGGGCCTTTTTGCTCTGCTCACACCGCTGGCCTTCCTGCTGCTGCCGCAGCTGCTATGGCGGGACTCGTTGGAGCCATGTGGGACGCCCTGCGAGGGCCTTTATGTGTCTCTGGCCTTCAAGCTCCTGGTCCTGCTTATCTCGTCCTGGGCGCTGTTCCTGCGGCCACCTCGCGCCACCCTCCCGCGCTTCTTTGTCTTCCGCTGCCTCCTCATGGCGCTCGTGTTCCTCTTTGTGGCCTCCTACTGGCTCTTCTATGGAGTGCGAGTGCTGGAGCCCAGAGAGAAGGACTACAGGGGGATTGTGGGATATGCGGTTTCTCTGGTCGATGCCTTGCTGTTCATTCAGTATCTGGCCCTGGTGCTGCTGGAGGTGAGGCACCTCAGGCCGGCATTCTGCCTTAAGGTGGTTCGCACCACAGATGGAGCCAGCCGCTTCTACAACGTAGGACATCTTAGGTATGTGTCTGTGTCTGAGAGGGTGAGCTAGAAAAGAAAGGTATCTCAGTTTGATGCTTGAAAATGTACCAAGATTTAATGTTCTTTCCATTTTCAGTTAGAGCATTCAACATTGTAGAAGCTAGAGATGCAAATTTGACCAATAAATTACCATAATTAGTCTGCAATTAATTGTTAACCACACACACTATTCTCTAAACTGCCTATCTTTCTGGATCTTGGGGGGTGTTGCTGGAGCCTATCCCAGCTGTCATTGGGTGGGACAGGTCGCCAGTCCATCACAGGGCAGACAAACAGACATGTCTTCGGACTGTGGGAGGAAACTGACGCAGACACGGGGAGAACATACAAACTTCACACATAAAGGACCCTATTCGCCCGGCCAGGAATCGAACCCAGGCCCTTCTTGCTGTGAGGCGACAGCGCTACCCACTGCGGCACCGTGCCGTCCTAATTGTTAGCCAACAAACCTAAAAATAAGGATGCAACTTTTTGATTTAAATATCAGTCATAAAATAGAATCTTTCAGATCTAAAAGCTAACTGGCTGTGCTGCATTGGAAATTGTTGTAAAATACTGTAGGCACACTTACAAGTGCACACATCAATGGACTTATCCATTAATCTGCTGAGTTTCAGAGTTGGTTCATTACTCTGAGCTTATTTGCACATTATGTTCTTTTCATACATCAATGTGAATTCACTTTCTGTTGTGGTTGATAGTTTAATTCTGCCATTTTGGGTTAAGTAATGTTATGACTGGATGTGGTTGTGGTTGGTGTAGTGTAGTGGGTAACACGTCTGACTTCTACACTGCAGACTGGGGCTCAGTCCCCTTCCTGGGTGAGCACCCTGCGCTATACCAATAAGAGTCCTTGGGCAAGACTCCTAACACTACCTTCGTCTACCTGTGTGAAAATGATCAAATTGTAAGTCGCTCTGAATAAGAGCGCCTGCCAAAAGCCATAAATGTAAATGTAAAGTGGTTTCACCCACTACCGGCCTCTATTCAAACACAGCCACTAAACCTGGCCATTAACAAATGAGTTCAGTCAGGTGTTTTTGAGCAGGTCCATCACCAAACTCTGCTGGACACCGCTGCCCCAGGGCTAGAGATGTCCATCCCTGCACTAGTAGTTTTTTTTAACTTGTAGTTGAAACTGCAACTCTACGTTTCTCCACTAGAGGTCACTGATACCACAGTAATGTCCCAGAACAGCAAGAGAATGTAAATGATGCCATTGAATGTAGATTACAGTCTAGTCTTAGACACATCTAATTTATGATAAGGAGGAGGAGGAGGATGATGATGATGATGATGATGATTCCTGTATGCTGTGTTTTATGCTATAGTATCCAGCGAGCTGCAGTTTGGGTGTTGGATCAATACTACAGTGACTTTCCTGTTTATAACCCTGCTCTGCTCAACCTCCCCAAGTCCATCCTCTCCAAAAAGATGTCTGGTTTCAAGGTCTACTCCCTGGGTGAAGGTAAGCTACTGTCTGCTTCCTTATTCACACTCAGGCAAGGACTGCTCTCTTTACTGGACCAGGTCACCTCTGATTTTTATGAATACAAACAGTCATGCCCACAATAAACTGGCTAAGTTCTTAGTTAGTCTAAGAAACTGGACTAAACAAAAACATTTATAATAGATTTCTAAATAGTTAATATATCTATATTCCTGTTTACGTGTCTGCCAGCATTGTCTGAGTTTACTATGTGAAATGGCCCCTTAAAGACACAGGTTTCTTGCTGTTTAACAATGTTGCTTTTTCCCATCCATATATATATGCAGTGATGTCTGTTTCTGACAAAATGTTTGTCCAAATGTTTGTTTCTGGCAACTGTTGTGTTTCTTAGCTCATAATCAACATGGTAGCCCCGACTGTAGTAGAATCAGAGCAGCTGAACTGTCGAGACTGTTAATATAGTTTCTGAACTCTTTCCCTAAGCTTTTCTCCCTATGAACTCTTTTCTTTTGTTCATCCCCAGAGAACAGCACCAACAACTCAACCGGCCAGTCGCGGGCAATGATTGCAGCTGCCGCTCGCAGACGGGACAATTCCCATAACGAGTACTACTACGAGGAGGCTGAGATGGACCGCAGGATCCGCAAACGCAAGGCCAGGTGAATGCCAGTACAGTTTAAGTCACAAGTGTACAGCAGTGGGTCAAACCTGTCACTATACCTGTATCATTCTGCTGACTGCCGTTTACTAAGAAACAACAAAGTTAACTTTACTCTAAGCATTTTTTTGGCAGAAAAAAATTTTGATATTAAAAATAAGCATTTGAAGAAAAGTTGAGTTTCTTAGTTTTGTGTTTAATTTGAATACAGCAATGGAACTTGACTTTGTGTGATATTCCCTTTTATGTTATGTTGCTTAAATCCAGAACATTTTATTAAAATGGATATTAAATTCTTCTGCCTTTTTCCCCCTCATTCTTTCAAATCCTGTTTAACCTTCGTTTTACCAGACATTAAGCACTCGTTCTGGTTGTTTGACTGACCCTTGTCTTCCATCCTGCTAGACTGGTGGTGGCGGTGGAGGAGGCGTTCACGCACATCAAGCGTCTTCAGGAAGACGAACAGGCCACATCTCCAAAACACCCACGCGAGGTCATGGACCCACGGGAAGCAGCTCAGGCCATCTTTGCTCCGATGGCCCGGGCCATGCAAAAGTACCTGCGCACCACACGGCAGCAGCCCTACCACAGCATGGAGAGCATCATCGCTCATCTGCAGTTCTGCATCACTCACAACATGACACCCAAGGTGAGGGACTAAACCCGTTTAGCCTTTTAAAGCAACAGTACAGCAAAAAGTCTTATTCATACAGTTATCAGTAGTTATAGTCAATCAGCCAAGACATACTTGTTTTTTGTTTTTGTGGTGGAGCCATGAGGCTAATGTAGCGAAACAGCAATTGAAGCTTATTTCCCACCACTTAGCATTTTGCACACTGCATCACAAACTGGCCACAAACCTCGCTGGGTTGCTGTGTAGACTTGCATATGTGGTATCTGACTGTGAAACTGGACAAAAGTTCAGACAAATTGCAGGCTTCAAGGCACCTGCTTCCACTGTTTTTAGCTATGCAACTTACTTTTTATAGGTAAGAAAACAAAGAAAATTGTGTAAATTGTGAACTGTTGCTTTAAGGCTATAGAGGTAGTATTGATACTGGGCAGATATCAGCAGACAATTCTCAATCAAATATCTGAGGAAGAAAGAGTGAATCTGATCTAATCTTGTAATCAACTGTTTTATTTTCCCTATTTTGATCATTTTTAATTTTATAAAAAATGTGTGGGCATAAAGAAATTCTGGAAGCACACTAGCACATTTCCATACTTTCTATTAGTCAACATTGCTGCATAAATAATATTTATTTACTCTTTTTGGGCCAAACTTGCCTTTTTGATTTGTACAATAAAAATCAGTTATCTATTTAAATAAACAATCAAATTAAGTGTTTTTATTTACTTTAAATTAAAAATTAATTAAGTGTTTTTATTTACATAAAATTCCAACTAAGATTAACCATATACAAGCAATAAATTGGCTGATTGCTGATCATGTCTGCCGATTCTGATCTTGGCCGATGCAGACTGTGCATCTGTAGTATCAGTCGATACTCAAGGTTTACACTTCGGTATTATTCTTCTGTAGTAGAGGCTGAAGAGGCAAGTGTCATTGTATGGATTATAATAGCCAAAGACTAATACAATCCTAGTGCTGTTTGCAAAGGGACTAATGCTCAGTGTTTATCTGATATTCTTATGTGTTCCATAACATTTTCTGTCTTGAGCTAATTGATATGCTTTCTGATTTAAGGCATTCTTGGAGCGGTACCTGACCCCTGGCCCGACCATGCAGTACCAGAGGGAGAACGGCAGGGGTCGCCAGTGGACCCTGGTGAGCGAGGAGCCCGTGACGTCAGCGCTGCGTCAGGGCCTTGTGTTCTCGCTTCGTCGGCTTGATTTCGCTCTGGTCGTTACAGTTACTGCCCTGCCCTTCCTTAACCTGGGAGAGGAGTTCATCGACCCCAAGAGCCACAAATTCGTCATGAGGCTGCAGTCTGAAACGTCAGTGTAGGGAGAGGTAAAAATGACAGAAATAGAGAACAGGAGGAGAATGGGAAAAAGAGGGATTGTTGGTATAGAGCTGGCGAGAGGGAGAGAACCACTTCTTTTTTTATTCTATTTTTTATCATTGAGGCTTTCCATTGGCCTGTTTTTATACTAAGTGAATGCCCATCCCTCAGAGACTGTTTTGAACTGAATGGTTCTTTCTACATTTCTGACTGAAAAGACTGTTGGCATTCCCACCTCTACATAATTCCTACAGCTGCAGGCAGGCAGTGCTACACTGTGTGTACAGTTTGTGTCAGTGTCTTCTGGCTCCAGTTCTGGAGGGCCACATCACTGCTCTGGAACACCTTATATGTCTCTTTCAGATAACAGTCAAAACCTTTGTGTTTGTGTAAAAGGAAGTGAAACTGCGCAGTGCTGAAGCCCTTTAAGACTACAGTGGAGAAGTGACGGTTTACATAAATCAGTTTTACGAAAGAGTCCTCGCCCAGGAAGATGTTTGGTCAGAGCTGTAACAACGGTCACTTTTCTGTAGAAGTTGACTGAGAGATTTCATGGAAACCCGAACGATGTTTCTTTGATGGGGGAGGAATTTCCTCTTTTATAACATATGTGACCACTATCAAATACAGCAACTGTAAAAGCATGGAGCAAGAGTGACCACCAGCTTGGCATGGATCGATTAAAGGGAAATTCCACCAGTTTTTCAAAAATTCTGCCTAATTCAGTTGAGATGTAAACATAGTAATTCAGAGTGGTTTGATGCAAGACGGTTCTTTGAAGAGAAATTTAGATTCAGATATCTTAACAGGGGTGTTGATAGGAACCAGGGGTTGCAATGCTAATGCAGTAATACGGCTAATTTATTCAATATTCAAAACCATTGAACATGTGTCTTCTGATTGTAGTGTTTATTATGGTAAAATAGTGCTAAAACTAGTGGGGGTGGGAGGAATTTTCTATTTTGAAAAGAATTTTCCATTTTGGAACTATTTTGCCCTACATGTACTGCCATGACTGACTGGGTCCTTAATTTTTTTATGATAGAGTAAATCTATCATAAAACCATGTCTCAGACCATTAAACTCCTCAGACGTCTGGTTCCTATCACCACCATTGTGAACAATTCTGGCTCGCTGCGTTTTCCTAAAACAGAGTGTTTCACATTAAAGCACTCTGAATTACTTTGTTTACATTTTAACCATCTAATTATGCTCAAGTTTTGAAAATAATAGAAATTCCCCTTTAAGAACATCATGAGAAAACAGCTACTAACTCTGCAGCGTTAACTCAAGGAATAATTCAGTTAGCTTTCAGGCATATAGTGAAACAAAGCACATTATTAAGGCTAATATATATTAACTTACATGCTTAAATCACAGATGTCATGGTATAAGCTTGGGGTGGGCTTCATTCCATGCTGAGCAAGAACCAAAACTGAATGGACTGAGCCGAGTCGTGCTAAAACTGTCCATACAGTGCAGTCATATGTGAACACTATCGTCCTAATATAATGGAAATCTCTGATATGCAACTAGTGGAATCCACTTGTGATTCAGGTGACATAAACACTAACATTGCTCCATGCTGGCTGTCCGATTGCAAGTATCAGGTGACGGCTGCTTCAGAGACCTCAGTACAAATCATTAACCTTGTCGACACTACTGGAATTTTGAGAAAAGAACTGGACCACTACACGTCTCTGCACAGAGAGGTTATTGCTTATTTACAATCAGCCTTTCTCTCCATATCATTTCCTCCTAAATGTATGTAAATAGGGACCCAGATTGCAAGGGCTCATGTGAAAGCATATCCTTTATTCTTTGAGAAAAGGTTTTGCCTTGATCTTTGGATCTCTCTCTTGAATGTGTTGAAACGGTTCACCCAAAAATGCTGATGTTGCTGATAAAGAAGAAAAAGTTGGTGAGGGTCTGTTAGCATTATGCAAGTGAGATTGTGCTAACTGGGCTGTATTAGCTTTTCTTCATTCATTCATGTTAATGTTTCAGGGTGAACTAAGTCTTTGCTGTCTTGTGTCTTGCAATGTTTTTATTCTAAAAAAATCAAGGGGCCTTTTTAATGTTTATTTGTTTACATTGCATTAAAAAAACAACAAAATGCTGTCCATATACCAGCAAAGGTGCCTGTCCTCCTCGCTTTTCATCAGAATGAGGACGTGGGAAACCAGTTGCCTATTTTTATGTTGAAGTGTAACGTGTGTCAGAAAAAGGATGCAAAACCAGAATGGTTTCAAAGTGAATGTGTGCCAAAACATTTCATTCCAATCATAATGCAGATCCTCTTCCAGACCTCATGTTCCCTTCATGCACTCATGTAGCATATAGTATGATATTTCAGTCACTTATGATGAGCCTTGGACACCAGGGGGCGTGCTAACACTCACTCCCGTAGCACTGGTGGACTTTTGCCTTAGAATATATGCGTATACCATAGTTCACACCCTGGTCTCCAGTGAGTGGCTTCAGACGCTTCTGAAGTCATTCTTTGTTTTGGCAGCTTTGAGTCACTGTAGGTTTTTCCTTTTGTACAGAACTCTAATCCTCATGATTGATTTTTAAATCCACACTGAGGCGTCAGACTGAAACACTACTTCATGTAGGTTGTTTTTAAAATGAACCTGAGAACAACTTTTCTTCCTTAGGCCTAATGCATGCACATAGCTAATGAAGTTTTGTAAGTTTTTGTATTCTTTGCCTTGTTTTTATTATGATCTATTAAAGTGAAGCTAAGCCTTTAACCTTTTTCCCAAAAAAAAGAAAAAAAAACTGAAAAAAGATGTAAAGAGATTTGTAGATTTGTTATTGTGTGAAGTTTTCTTTTGCATTTGATAATTTTAGAACTAAAATGTTGCAGCCTTTTTAATAAATGATCTCAACACAGCTCCTCTGAGCAGTCTTCATGTTGTTTTGCTTCACTGTATTGAGCATCATAAGTAGCGGTCATACACGTCTGTATCTCCCTCAGCCTTTCCTTCAGTTTTGTCTGA